GTTGTTGAGCACAAAGTTACACAATGGACTATCTATGCTGTGTCCACCACAAGGATTGAACCTCAAATTTCAACAATATAAGCACTAAAGTTTGCCACATGAGAAGGAAGCAAGAAGAGATATTATAGAAGTTGGTTGAAAGTTATAAAACCATCACAGAATGGAATATATATACAAGATGCACGGTTGTACTTTGGAAGTAAAACATACTGACTTAAAAATGTTTAAACACTTCTGCAGAAAACCAAACATCAACCAAGTTGATCTTTAAGTTAAATTGTAAAACAGTTAGCAAGTATGTTTTATGGAAGTAATTTTTAATATCTGCTTTACATATTTGGTTTGTTGGATACAGGCAAACTAAATGTGTTTAAAACGATTATTTTATGCTGCTGGTGTTGTTAATAATATAATTATTAATAAGAATTTCTGAGTGAAAATAAAGAAGAATGTATAATACGTAAAGCAGTGATAACATTCACATTAAACTGCAGAAGTTTTAATGGTTTATTTGTACATTCTTCTTAATCAATTCATTTTGAGGTTAGAGTCATGTAATTTTTAATAATATTATTGGGTCAGTTGCTTTACCAGCTTTTGGACTTTAAAACTGCAACATTAAAAAATTCTGGCTAATTACAGCTTTTAAAGGTTTTCTTCTTTACACAGTGATTCACATTTAATACTTAAAGACAAGGCTACTCTAGCAGTTGGGACATAATTAAATTTTCTTTTTGTATATCAGAAAGTTTTTAATATCAAACAGTTTTTGTACTACCAGCCCTGATGAAGTAGCTATGGTGGAACATTGTACGGAAATTTGTTTTTCTAGCTTTAGTACCAAAATGTATAAAATCTCTCCATTAAGTACTTTAAATTATGAAAAACAACACAATATATCAGAAAGTATTAACAAAATCTTCAATTTGAAAACACAGTAAAGAAGAAAATCGACACAATGTAACAGAAAGAAGGAAATCATACAAGACATATACGTCACGATCACTCTTATGGATAACTTCATTGACATTTCAGACTTATATTGAGCAATAGATTAACTTGTATGGAATCCTAATTTAATCGGACATTTTTATTGTTCACCTTTAATGAGGCTCTAGAATGTGCTTTTTACTCCCCATTAAAGTATGCAGAAATATTTTTAACTTACATTAACCTTACAACTTAATTGATTTAATCTTTTTTTTTTGTAAAATATAATGCTTAATTTTTGTTACAGAAAATAGATTACTATAATCTGAAATTTGAGATATAGTTTTGCTTTGATTTTTTTTATTATACAGAATACTTTTTTTTCGAAGTTAAATTTGATATAAGATATCAATACTATTTGTTAGTAAATAGTTTGAAGTAATAATAATGGCTGGAGACGGCTTGAATGGGTAATGAAGAAAAACTTTAATACAAGTTTAACATAACAGCAAATGTACAACGTTTCGACAAGGTTTTGTCATCATCAGGTACAGTTTGAAGTAATAAGACAACTGACAATGAAAGCCCGAAGTTATATTTCTTCATGTGGAATCTTGAAAGAGAGTTTGAAGTATGAAAAATATTGCCTTTTAAGAACGGTTTGAAACTCGTCACTTTTACTGCATAGGTTCACCAAACATGGTAGATGTAGTCAGTGTCTAATCTTGTTTCACAAAATCCAGTACGTTAAGATAGTATGAACAGTTTGAATTAATTATCATTTGTTTTATTAAATACTTAAGTAATTTTCATGCGTTGTAGAGTAGGTTAATATTTACGTTCATATGTTTGTTATAACTCTGGAAATTGTAGACTTCGAATGATCAATTTCTATTACTGTTAAAACAATTTTTGCTTAATTTAAGAAGGGGATTGCAACAAGATATTCCAGACCAAGGATAAGCAGTAGATGTTGAGCAGTTAGGGGTAAACCAGTATTTAAGTAACTCGTTACTGTTCTGTTAATAACAAGATTTTTAATGAGAGTAATAATATTAAGTTATTTTCCACTAAAAAGAAACAAGTGTGTTCCATCACCTTCTTTCTTTTGTGCACGTACGTTAATGGTCTATTTTTTTAAAGGAAAATTAAATTTCAGTTTCTCTGTTCCGATCAAATAAAATATCTAAATGTATTTCATATACATTTCCTTCGAGTGATTGCAGAGATGAATTTCAGAAAACAGCTTGCAAATTGGTTGTACAAACTCTATCAGCACTGAGGTCTGGCTATTTGTGAGTGTACATATTGTGCATTCAGAATGACATACATTTAATAGATTAATTTACAGAATGTGATTACATTAAAAAAAAAGGAATAGTCACAAACAAATGTTTTACAGGAGAAATAAAGGGTAAAAATCCTAATGAGTATTGTGAAATTTTTTTTATTAACTAATATTTTTTTCTTCTTCTGAAGACACAAGTAATGAAATACTTTTTTTTTTAGTGACATGCCTAACACTGGTGATATGATACTGTAACAGTCACAGTAATAACATATAAAAGTGTTTTCCAGAGCTACTCAAGAAATGATGGTTTATAAACCATAGTTTTTAATTGAAGGGTTCTGGACAAATAAGTTGATAAATCATAGGTTTTATTTTTTATAAGAAGAATTACCAGAGAAAGGAGGGTTTTACATTTCATAGCTTTAGACCAGTGGTGGGCAACCAAAACTAGTTCACAAGCCCCACTAATAAAATCAAGGAGTGCAAGACCCTCTTTACTAGTCACGAGCCAAAAATGACACATATCAATAGAAAAAAAAAAAGAGATATATATGAAACACATTTAGGATGTGTGTGGGCCTCAGGTTGATCCTTGGGAGGGGGGGGGGGTAAAGATGGATAACCGATCATTGCTTTAGACAGAAGAGTAGCTGGAGAAATAAAGTTTGTTTTGCACAAAATATATAGGAAGCAGTGGAGACTTGTTTTACACGTGTAATCCATAGCACATAAGACAGTTTGTAATTAAGCACGAAGCTAAATGATGGATTACCTGTGCTGTGCCCATCATGAGTATTGAAACCTGTTTTTTTTTTGTATTACAAGTTCTCAGAACTGATGCTAGAATAGCTAAAAATAAAAATGTGTCACTGAATGACACATTATGGTCACAGTGGATAAGTGCATATATTTAGATTATTTCTCGAAATGTTCAAAATACCGTTTCTTTCGTGACAAATCAGATTTTTGTATCTGTAACTGAATGGGCAAAAAATTGGATCTAATTTCTCAACACAAATATCAATGTTTGAAATCATGTGTTAGTATAAATATCTAACCACTAACTTAAAACATCTACAACAGGTATTCTGTTGTTACATTTGTTTTCGTGAATTTCAAAGACAATGATGTTATTTCTCATAGACAGATAACTGTGCGTATTCAGAAAGAAAAAATAAAAAATCATTCAACAGACAATCTACAAAAACTATTGTGCAAACTATGATTTATTAAAATACATCAATTACAATCCAAATTACAATTCCATAACTACGCATCTATCATTTTATGTAACAAAATATAACGAGTGGTGAGGGTTTGGGAAGGTTCTAAAAAGAAACTTTCTGTAAGTTTTTGGGATGAAAATGTTCTAGTGTAGTAGACAGCCATCCAACTATACAGAACTGACACTAAGAACACTGTATTGTACATTCATCATCGCAACAGCCAAAGAAAAAACATCTCATTATCTACGCATCCTGCAATAATAAAAAGCTTCAAACGTATCATTAAATTTTATGAATTCATTCCCACCTGGTTTCTCCAAAGAGCCATAAACATCGAATTCATTACAATAAATTAAGCACCCGTTTCTATTAAAATCAATTCACTGGCGAGAGTATTAAAATTTATTAAAGATACAATCCAATCATACTTTTAAACTTACTTTTTTGATTAAAAACAAGAGTACATATAAAAATACTTATTAGAGGACACAAGAGTAAATAATTCCTGTCCATCTCCTTCCTGACAAATCAGTTAGATTTCTTTTAAATTATGTAATCATAACTAGGTTAAAGAAAAAACTATTTAAAACAAAACATTTCCTTAAGAATACAATATGTTTACATTCTGCAGTTGAAATAGGTTATAATTTTTGTGTTGCAGTCTAAACTTTCTAACTGAAAATTTGGAACTCTGAAAACAATTGAGTAGATCATTACCATGCTGGAAAAACCTTAATGTTAAAATATTATACGAAAGGTCTTTAACCAGCAAGAAAGATTGTTTTCTTCAGAGGTTTATTAGAAAAAAAAAATATTGATTTTTTTGTCAATACATAGAATATATTTTATTTGGATAAATGATAACATGGAATAAACTGACACACCTAAATGAAAACTTTTTCTTGTCTATCTTGTGCACGTCGCACAAAATAAAGTTGAAAAAGTTTAGTGAAACAGTTAATTAACACTGATATATTGTCTGGAAAGGAGTAATCCGAAACTTCTCGTAGAATCTTAAAAAAGAATAACTCGAGATGTTCTAAGAAGAACATTTTTAATTAAGTACCAAAGCAATACACTTTACAAATCAAGTTTTGTAGTAATCCTACAGAAACAGAAGCATAAGCTCTAACAAACAAACCTAACCTACAGAATCATTTAGAAAGATTGTATTCTGATTCAGTATTTTATCCAGTTCCATCTAATTTTTTATAGCTATCAAGATATTTATTTAAATGACCTTTTCCCTGGGATTAAAATGTTTCTTAAGTGAATACTCTAAATACCAAGTTCTCATCCAATACTTGAAAGACTCAATTTCCATGTATTATCATAAAATATTCACAAAGAAACAAAATTGAGCTTGAACAATCCTTGAGCTCAGTGTTTAACGTTTCTTACACTTGCATCATTTAATTGTTCTACTAGATCACAGCAAACAACTGTTACCTCTTAGTTTTTCACTGGTAAAATTTCCTCCTGCCAGTTTTATAAGCAGACAAAATTATTGATGAATATTATTTATAAATGGCTTGAATTATATTAAAAAAATAGTTAAAATATATTATTCCCTACGAGATAAAAGTTGGACAACATAGGCAACCAGAAGTTCAGGAGTATCACAATAAATTATTGTTTTTTTACAATATTATCTTTATTTCAGGCATGCAACTGTTTTTATGACATAATACATGCTTGAATTTAAAGACTTGCACTTTTCCCAAGACTATTGTTTTCACATCACTTCTAATGTCACTGTGTATAAAACGTTTTTTTTTTCATCCTGACCACAAAAATCAAAATTATCAGTTCAATTTCTTGACTTATCATTATTTCCGAGATAAGCTTTTAAACCCTAAATCGCTACAAGAACAGTCTCATAGTCTTGTATGTAGTGTGTATGAGGCATTTAATGTTTTACGCTAGAATAAGTTCACAGGATGAGGAGAGTTTGTGTTTTCTTCCAGTTGAACAAAGGTCAACTATGGAAGACAAAAACTGTCAAAGAAATCAAAAACTTCTACCAAGATAGTTGTATTCACACTCTAAAGGTGCACAGTACAACAGGACGTTCCACAGTATCTAACAGATGATACACTCCCGTAGAAGCAGGCACGGACATGGCATCTTGCGACATATATTTATCAACCGTGCCATGTCGTAACAAGAACGCGTTTCTGTTACGTTAACTTCTAAAAACAGAAATAAAATCTAATCAAAACTTGAGGTTGGCTAAGAGGAAGATAATGATTTCACTGAATAATACATGGCTTATGTCCATTTTTAATCTTCAATCGTGACTTAGGACGGTACTTTTCCAGATAAGAAAGTTGCTTGGAGTTAATAGCTCCTCTTCGTTTCCTACAGAAAGAAAAACAACAAATCTAATACATTAAAGACAGTAAGTAACTGTCTTAACAAAAAATATTATTCGTTTCTATGGTTTATTTTTTTCTAAGAGGTAGTTGGTTTTCTGCGAGTCAATGTATCACTTTGCTTTAAAAATAATAAATTCATTGATAAGCTATCTAACTTATATAATAGTATGTGTCACGTCACGCTTGATTTCTCGAAATAGGAGGAGTCATAAAAGTCAAAACGCATTTATCCAGATAAAATAGTTCGATTACTGTCTGCCCATTATGATTTTAATGACGCGGGTGCAAGGGGGCTGTGATGAGGCAGTGGTGCTGTGAAACCTTATAAATGTGGCGAGTGTTAGTATAATAAGCCTAAAGCATAGACGTAATGTGGGATCACCTATCCTAGAACAGAGTACATAAAATTTATCATGAAAGTCAAAATATGATTCTACTTTAAACTTAAATCGTTTATGAATTAAGCTATTTTCTGTTATATCACCAATGTTTTTTTTTATAAATAAAACAAACCTCTTTAATCAACGGAGCCTCTAAATTAAAGAAATCAACAAATATTTTTCCTGTTTTGTTGTCTATACATTTTATTTTATACTTTCAGTACATAGACTAACAACAATATTAGGTTATACTTTTGTTGTTAAGCAACATGACATAAAAGCCATTGTTGGAACGTAGTGTTACCAAAACGCACTGGCTTTTCTACGTATTAGAAGTTGTTAATCTAACTGATTTTTACCAATAATTATTCAATGAATACCCCATGAATTCATTTCATGAATGATCTTAATTTTAATTGACTCACAACGGAACTTACCGAAGTTTGACTGCCTCGACTGCACTTTTCTGCCTCTTTGTTGGTCAAGCTTGATTTTGTTGAAAAATTTATTTATCTCAGTTAATTATAAAATGTGAGGTTAGGGTGGTGGTGGTTGTACTTTTCCCATCATTTTTGACAGGCTACACACTAGTATATTAAAATATGGTGCTGTATCATAAAGCATCGTGTTTAGTGGAGTTCATTATTTTATAAAATGATAAAAGTTGTATTGTTGCTTGCACTCCAAATTCTGACATATCACAGTGACATACAGCATTGTGTTCAGTGGAGTTCATCTTGTACACTGTTAAAAGTAATGTTGGATGCAATTTGAATATGTTGTCAACTTGTAAAATGATGACATTAGGAATTATAATCGTGCATTATACTAGTCGCTAGGAAGTTAACATTAAAAAAGAATTACTACCAAATTGAATTAAAACAGTTAATGGTACCTAATATTCTAACAATACAATATAGTTACTGCCAGAACAAACAGAAATATTGTCCACTTTTAAAACCTAGGAGAATAACCATACATAGAAAACTTCACAGCACAAACCAGCTTACTGACAGCTGTGTTAACAGTAGATCAGATGTTATGTTCAATGTGTTTAATAATACAGTAGACCAGACTCACTGTCTAATGAGTTCAACGGCATCTTCATACTTCATGCCCAGTTCTATTAGTGCCAAGGCCACAAGAACTGGAGCCCTGCAAAAAAGATTTTCATGAAATGGTATTTTTAATACTAATTAGTGTCCAGGTTATAAGAAGTGCTATCGAAAGCTGAAACGATTAAATATAGCTACAAAACAGCTTCTGCTCCAATCTGTCTTACCAGAATGACAATATGCATAGTTCGTTTACACATAAAAAATTAATTGAATCTCATAAATCTACTTATTTTGACATCAACCACTAATTTATCTTCATTGTTAATAACCTTTTACTTTCATTCGAGACTCGGTGGAATTTAAATAATCACGTACACCTCTTGCATCTACCATTTTACTTTATAGTTTTTGACTTGTAACCAACGCCATTTAACACAACATTTCCGCAACTCACGAGACTGAGTATTCTACTGCACTAGATAATTCAGTACTGTAAGTAAACTCTGATGATGTTTCATTTAAAAACTACTGGAGAATATAAGTCTTTATCTGGAGCAATTAAAGTTCATTTTGTTGCTTTATAAAGAATTTGTAGCTCTAACTCCTATCACGAGCTGTCAGTGCTGCGTCAACATTTTTTAGTCCTTAAGATGGCCCGAGAGGTGCACATATCACCTTTGTTTTGAACTACGACAGACTATTTTTTCATCCTTGTAGAGATAATGGGGAGTCGAGACGACTATAGCCAGGATGTGGGGGTTGTCTGGCAAACGCTGATTCAAATGTGTCTATCCTGAGAATGGTATTGGATATTTCAGCACATAACGTGTCCTCTGGAACTGCCTGACCCTTTGCTGCAATAATATGCCTCAGCTGAGGAATGGTTATTGGGTTGTGGGAAAAAAATCTACAACATCAGAGAGCCCTATACCAGTAATCGGCAGAGGTAAGGTTACAACGAAAATTGAAGTTTACTTTGTTAAATACTCTTGCAAGCAAATTTTACTCACTTCGATTCATGGACATGAACTTCCTATGCAGATTCCAAAGGTCAAATGTATCTGAACTATTGTGATAGTTTTGGAAATCAACTCACAGTCTATGGAATAACTCCATGACGACAAGAAGCAGATGGGAAAAATTAAGTTCAAGCTCTATGTTTATTGGAAAAAGAGAGGAAAATTGGAATTTTCAACCCGAATGAGACCTTATACTAGTGACAAGAGGGGAATATGGTTGACCAGTAGTGCCAGCTACCTCAAGGACTTTTATAATGTACATAAAGCTGAAAATATGGGTGGTGTTCAGTTGCAAGGAAGGTCATTAATGGCCAACTGCCTGCCTCTTGCAAGTACGTGTTCAGCTAAGCACTTATTAATGTGTGGAATGAATAATTAATACATTTACGTTTTAATGAACAAGTTATAGACCCGAAGTCGAAAGGCTTGCGAAATGTCGTCCTCTAAACTTGTATTTTTTCTACAATAGGCAGTTGCCGCCCACTCCAATGTGCACGTCAAACTACGTAATAGTTAGTATCTCAGGAAAAAATTTAAACATCTTGCTTATCACAGAAACCTTTCACAGCTACTTGTGGCAAATACATAAATCTGTACAATCTGAGAACATGAATTCTGAGCATTGATGACAGTCTGCACAGATTCATCTAAGGCTAGATTATAATGTATTATAAAAAATATTCCCACCTCCCTAAGCCAGCTACACAGTGAACACCCACACAAACATCGGGATCTTCTTTGAATCTTGTCTTTAATAAGTCAAACCAATCTTCAACTATCTTAGCTGGTGGAGGTGATCCGTCATCAAACTGCCAATCCTAAGTGAACAAGGGATACATTAAAATTGAATACAACTTGAAGTTTTTAATTGATAAAATTAAAGCATGTGAAACTATCTCTACCTATAATTAACTACAATTTTTTTAGTTTTAAGGCCATTCTGTGGACACTACAATGTAGTACAACAAGAACAACTCAATCTGTACAGAATGGTTTGCTCTTGTTGTACTACATTGTAGTGTCCGGACACTACAATGTAGTACAACAAGAGCAAACCATTCTGTGTTGTACTACATTGTAGTGTCCAAGAGCAAACCAAACTTCCTCCTTCAGTTTCAATGTACAACCCTTCTCCCACAACTTCAACAGTTAAACTGAATGGAAGACACAAATTCACGATGACTGACAAAAAGTAAAATAGCCATCATGTAGTAACAGTTGGGTCATTTCGATTTTTATGACGCAGTGAATAAATATAACTTTGTCACCTTCTGATCTAGGCATTTGGAGAAATTTTTTTCACTGTATACAAAACTAAAATCCAATGTTTTCCATTAAACACATCTGTAAAGTTTGGCCACAAAAAAAAACAGCTTGAACTTGTGTATTACCTTGACCACTTCTTCTGAACGTCAGCATAAACCACACAAAAAACTAGACTTCAAAACCTATACTTTCTGCAAAATAAGCCAAAACTCAGATTTCTACGTAGCTATAGGTTATCTAGTTTTTCTTCAAAACCTATAACCTATACTTTCTGCAAAATAAGCCAAAACTCAGATTTCTACGTAGCTATAGGTTATCTAGTTTTTCTGTGAACACACCAGACCGAAGAATCATAATTTTACAAAGACATCATTAATCATGGGAGTTTTAGTTTTCACACTCAGGCACATTTATCCCGCATCCTAGTGTCCAATACTTATATTACAAGACTAGAACACTGTGAGGCTGATATTCAAAACAGCTTGAAGGAGGTTAAACAAAACAATGATACAGTATATGCCTAATAAAAAAAAACTTAGTTTGGAAGTTTTTTCAATAAAATTCTTGACATATATATACATGTCTAATAACTAGCCGTCTATTTTAACAGGTTTGATAGAAATTATATCATAACTGCCAGATAACTTAATTATAAAACAAATATATATACTCGAAAACAGGCCAGTAGTATTGTAAATTGGTATATATAAAAAAAAAGTGTCAATCATAACCAAAGATGGGCACAAGCAACTTTTCTCAAATGTGATAAAATCCAGTTTGAAACTGAAGGGTTGGAATGCAGAGATTTGATTAAGTTTAATAAGCCAATCAACACAGTACAAGCTATGCTAACTGACTAAATATAACTTACATGTACATTAATACCCTCGTGCTCCAACAAATCTGTCTTGTAGGTGGCTTCACAAACCCTCACGAGATCCTTAACATTATGTTTCTTTAATTCCTAGGGATGAAAAGAAAATACTGCTTAACTACCGACACAAAGCAATTTGTACTTGTAGAAAATCTCACTAGATATTATGATTGTATTGAAAATTGCCTGAATACCAATAAATTTATTGCTAGTAATCGTATAATTAATTTTAAGTGTTTTCAATTATTACCTAATCCTGTTATCAATGGACTTTTACACAAACTACGTCGTATCCAGAGATACAATAAACCACTGATATTTTGGAATAAAAAAAAAAAGTCTTAAAACCACTTCTGATGCTTCTGACTCATTGATTTGTTAACTCAGATACCGTCAAACTTGTCTAACACGAATCCTGAATAAGAAAGGAATGGTTTACTTAGGCCTAGAAAAAAAAGCTTTGTTTCTGGTTGCTCAACCGATGCTATGTAAAAATGCCCTACCTCTACAGTTTTTTCTATACCTCGTCATAAAACAAAAATCTCCAGACCAATTCTAATGACAAACGTCCTTAGATTAATATTTTTCATTAAATTATTGCGCTAACCTGATACCATATTGTGCAAAGTGAAGCTCATAAGAGACCATGTCTCTGATTCGTTAGTTGGTGTGGTGTATCAATACTCTCAGCCAATTATAGCTGAGCTTCCATTCAGGCAATGTCAAACATACATCATGGTGACTAAAATACTGGCTGTCATCTTTAACAAATGTACACGTTTAACTAAAAAAAAAAGTCACAGTTTACTGGAAATGTCAAAGATGTGTTTGAGTCATGCCATCCTAAACTATATTCGATTGATTATGAGCATACATCAACACATGTTGATCTGGGAGAAGTTTCAATGGATACTGGGATAGATCAATTAGTAGGCACATTTGGTGTCAAATCAATTAAATTTCACTATAGGCCTAAACCAAAATGCCCAGCGGAAGTTGAAAGTACTGGTACAGCAAAGAATACTGTGACAAAATCCAATCAGCCCAATATTCCACCTACCTGCCCTATTTTTGAGGATATAAAAAAATTAAAAAAAGAAATGAAATACCTATCTACCCTATTCAAACCATTCAAAGGAGATCAATCCACATTCTTGCAGAAATATTCGCCATACCGTCATCTGTATTTAATACTACATGATTTTCTTTATGGTTTATTATTTCTAACGATTCACGAATATTATTACCTATTATACTTTTAGGTTGAGCTAATATTACAGTTTTTTCCATAATATTGTGTGTTGTGTTTCCTGTACATGTTCTGCTATGGATGAATTTTCAGTTTTTTTTATTTTTTACATATCCCTTATGCTCATTTAAGCAGTATTTTAAATTACGTTTTGTCTGACCAATGTAAATACTTCCACGTTCACATTCTATTTTATATATTCCAGTTTTTTTTCAGTTAAATGCATTTCGTCTTTCGTAGTACCTAAGAATTGATTCATCTTATTTATCGGTTTAAATATAGGGTAGAATATCTGTTGTTTTTTGAACACTTTAAATAAACTAGTAGTTAAACCTGAAACATATGGTAAGATTAAGCCTTCCTTTCTAATTTTTTTCATAACTAGATTTTAAAGTAGTAACTTGATCAATTATTATAGTATTAGTGAATTTCTTAATTGCCCTATCTATAAGATCTGGGTTAAAACCTCTTTCGACTGCTATATAATTAATTAATAACAAATTGTTTTTGAATCATTTTGGTAAGTACAAATCTTAGGTACTACAAAAGACGAAATACATTTAACTGAAAAAACTGTAATATTAGCTCAACCTAAAAGTGTAATAGGTAATAATATTCGTGAATCGTTAGAAATAATAAAACATAAAAACGATCATGTAGTATTAAATAGAGATGAAGGTATGAAGAATAATTCTGCAAGAATGTGGATTGATCTCCTTTGAATGGTTTAGCGTGAATTTATGAAAAATAACACACAGGTCAATGACCTACTAACAAGTTATAAATACTTTTGCAATTGTTTTGTAATTCACTCCTGACGATGAAGTTGTAACGTCAAATCATGTAGAGTCGTCAACTTTTTGAAAGCCATAGATAGGCCTAAATAAAATGTTTTTAATTGTGTACCAGTTTAATGTTGAATATTAGTTATGATTTTATACTAGTAACTACTTTCATAAAGTGTAGAGAAAGATACTAGCATGTAAAACAGTAACCAGAAACTAAGATAAAATAAAAATTAAGTTGTCATTTCTCTTAAATTTCGGTCATGGAAAGATTAAAGTTTAAAAGTCACTTTTTTTTTGGGTTATCAATTTATAACTTAAAAAATGTCATATAATCCTGATTAATCAGTTTTTACATCCCTATTATACATATTTAACTCCTGATATAGAACAAGGAATTGGTACCTTTGTACAGTATATTTTAACAATGTTAACTCCTTATAAAACAAAACTTCACCTTTACAACTCCATACTTTATATTTAACATAATGTTTAGTTCTCACAAAACACATTACTTACACCTTTTTCTTTTTCAATCTCTTATC